GCAGATTTGGATTTCTGACAAACCACGGAACATTTGCAATTATTCTGAGGACTTTGTTTTGGACAATTTGCATTTTTTTGATGTGCGAGGATGCACAATTACCCCATACCGGGCAAGCGTAGGTAAGAATTGGGCGTATAATTTGCTTAAAAATTAGGAGAGAGCATTTTTTTCCCATACTAGACAGTTTGGTTTTAATTAATACATAGATTAAAGAAATGCACACGTGGGTCGTACTAACCATAAATTTCGGGGGAGGGGGGGGGGTGAACCCCCCCCCCCCCTATATACGCCACTGATGCCCCATATATATAGGTATATATAACTCCCTTGTGATTGTTATTCATGCAAAATCGATTTTAGTAATTTTTATCTTATACGGAAATAGGAATGATTGTCATTTCAATTTACTAATTTCTTGAACAGATTCTTAAACAGTTAAAATATTCCAATTGAAGTCCGATGTGGGCTACTTTTAGGTTGTTGAACTTTACGATTTAAAAATGTATTATAATTTAGTTTTTAAATGTAATATAATACGCATATTTTTTTTTTGTCACCTTGAATATTAAGTACATATTAAAACGCAAATAATGTCAAAATGATTAAAAATATAGTTGCAACAAATAATAAATAATACTATAAATACCAGACATTTTTAACTACATATTAAAATGTAATTTAAAATTTAAATCATTAGAAAGTGGATTTAATATTATTAATGATATTACATACGAACCGAAAATGTTGGATGTATTTTTATATGGTTTAAATCAAGCTCGTGATTGTGAATAGAAATTATTTTTTATTTTAAAATATTTATGGTGTTGCATTTTCAATTTAATGAAAATCCAGGACTTCAAACTAACACCGACAATGGAAATGGTGATTCCTAATTAAATAAACTTATCACAATAAAATGACGTCACAATTAATTGAGGACGATACATTTTTTAACATTCTTCATGTACATTCGGCATTCTCTACTTCCGCGTGCAGGTAGAAAAAATTAAAACCGTACGGTTTACAGTAACATTTACTGTTTGTACATTTTTAAATTCTGAACCAAGTTAATTTGTTGGTTTTATAAAAAAGTTTTTTTCTTGTGAACAGCATTTAAAGGTTTTATATATACAAGTATTTTACCATGATTGGTAATACTCATAGAAAACACAGGAAAAACTATAAAGTAATTAATTTTTTGACTTTCTCAGTAAATGTAAATTGTTTAGTTTATTCACTTGTTTAGGTTTTTTATTCATATTATATTTTATGATATAATTAACTTTTTAATAAAAAAATAATTAAAATTAGAATATTCGCAATAATTTATGTTTATCATATTTGAAAATACCTAGAATATTTGTGAACAGAGATTATTTCTTATCAACATTTAATATTTGTTCATAATTTATTTATACACTATTGCGCTTTAATTTATGTTAATATTAATATATAAGATGATATTTTTCGAATTCAGCGGAATATAATTTCGATTTTACAATAAGAAAATTAGTAAAAGCCTCTTTACTATACTTCTAACACATGTAAAACTGAATAATATTAATGAATAAGGAGCTCATAGCGGATTTACGCAATTGTAATACTCATGCATGTATTCAGTATCGTACGAGTATTATATACTATGTTTATGTATACTCCTTTTTTAGTTTAAATTGGGCGCATTCCTTGTAAAAATCAGTTGACCGTATGATATCCCTTGCCCACTTTTCATGTTATGACTCATGCGGGTTTATTGACTACTAAAAGAATAAAAAACAGAGGTTAGGCACCCAGGTACTCGTAAATATGTCTTTTCCAGCAATGAATAAATACTATACACACCCCTAATTTTGTTTTTATGTATGCTCTGCGATAAAAAAAATTGAGTTTGTTTATTTTTTCAGGATTGAGGAAGAATGTTAAATTATTGTTCTTGTTTCAAAAAATGGACGTGTGAACAAATAATTCTTATCGTTACTTTGTATCACATTTGCAAGATTGCATGTGTATATTATGTCGTTTGGTTAAAAGAAAACTCACAGAACGGAACAGCTGTTAAGTTTCATGAAATCGTTTTCGGAGCCTATACACTTACTTATATGAATATTGAAAAATTAATAATTATGTATATTATATATAAAGTTGTGTTTAATGTTAATGTTTAATACTCACTTGTCATATTTTATACAAACAGCTGCACGGTTAGAAATATTTGAAAATGGCGTGGCTTTTAATGATTAAAAAGAAAAAAATCATAAATGATATTGCTATCGATAAAAAGTTTTCATATAGATATTAGACCGAAGAATATTAGAACATAATAGTGTTTTCGCATGTATCTAAGGTGTTTAATTTTTTATTTGATTTTTACTAAAAATCGAATTTTTGCATGACTATAGACATACAAATCGAATTCACCACCGAAAAGGGGTTGTGTGCGTATACATTTACGTACAAAAACACGCGCGCGATAAATGCGTCTTCCGTCAATGAAATATGTTGAATATACGGTTGACGCGCACGTTAATTATAAGTACGTCGTCGTATAGTGTGTCTGTTTGTGTTCTACGCACGTGAGTTTCAAGCGCTACTTATACATAATATAAATATTGTATTAGGTGTGCGATAATAAAATTGTACGTTTATTTTTGGTACACGCTGTCGGCATAATAATTATTCACGAGCAAATCGGCGTTGCGTATCCCGGAGACGTTAGAGTACGTTATTATTATTTATTATATTATTATTATTATTATGAGTATACGGTCTGGATTTTTACGATCGAGCGTCGGGTTTACAACGATTAGGAACGAAAGACCGTTGGTTAAATTTGTACAAAAATCGCAAGTGATCTACGCGTTTTGTATAATCGGAGTCGGGGTATGTCACATGTATTCAATGACAATATTTTTGTGTATACTATTCGACTTCACGCTTTGCACACTTCGGAATTTCATATGTGACGTTGCATGATGTGTATTGTTTACAAGTCTTTCAACCGGGCCTCTTAAGATAACGCTTAAGATAACCACATGTAACGGTGATCAAATGAATGTTTTCTAAGGAACGGAGAAAAAGTTAAGGATTTTTTTTTCTAAAAGAGAAGTACAAGGAGACATTAGCTGTAAAAAAAGCAGAAAAAAATAATCATTGGTTTATAAACGTTTTTTTATATACTTCTATGTAACTTGAATATTTACGCGTGGTAAATGGGTGTGATTACGTGTTTTTACGGGTATATTATATTAATACTACTTGAAAATATTGTAATCATACCCTTGCAATTCTTAGTAGTTATTCGTTTTCGGAGAAAAATTATAATGGTGCTTAGTTTATATGTATATATATATATATATATATACGTGACTCGCATTAAGCGTAACGGCGAATCTTAAATTACAAATCACACGGAATTATGTCGTGTCACGACGATTTATATGTAATCCGGACATCAAATTCTGTTGTTAAAAATCGTTTAACTTAAACCGATGCATATAGTCTAATATCGTCAAATGTGGCAATTGAAAGGGCATGTACCAGTTTCCCCCAAAAGTACATTTTTTTTATACCAATTCCCCCCCAAATTACCTATAGCAAAATGTACCAGTTGCCCTCACATGTTAATATATACACGATTACAATAAATAGCCTGTAAAATAGGGGAGGTAAATATACAAATTATAATTAAAATTATTTATAAAAATAATGTAAGATAGTATAAAATGATAAAATCAAATTTTGATATTTGCAATTATATATGATATTGTATTTTGTAATAAATAATAAATATAATATATTATACAAATAGTATAGATAAAATGAAAATTGTAATAATTGAATAATAACCTACTACTAGGTGCAAAGCCAGGATTTTACAAAAACGTAAATTTAGACGCGTCTAAGTGGATAGCCGATTTATAACGATATTAACGACAATTATATTACGCTTTATCGGAATACACTAGTTATTATCATTTATTAAACCTATCTTTATTAGTAGTTTTTTTTTTGTTAGACATTATTATATGATACGATGTATACCTATATATATACTGTCTTTGATAGGTACATTTTAGTAGACGAAAAGCACTAACGTTGTAAACACGATGGAAAATATTACGCGAGTGTATAGTGAAAAGGGCAATGTTTTGTTGGTTTTAAATAATTATACTTTTTAATTTTAATTAATATTTTAAAAATTCCGATAACAGCCGTTGGGGGCAACTGGTCAACACCCAATTGAAAGGATGGTCGTCGTTTGTCATGGGACTGAACAGATTTCCGTCACTCATTAATCATCAAAAATGTTTTTAAAATACGCTTATAAACTAAAATACACTAAAAAAACCCTTAATATTTTTTAATCCATTAATTGCTCTTTTGAATAACATAACTGAATATTACAACGATTTATAAATTTAAATAATTTTAAATTTGCTAAAGCGAAGTCAATCTGTGTTATTTTATTTATTTTCGTGTTATTGGTTTTTAAACACACGAACATTGAATTGTAAAAGTTAACATACATAAAAAATGTAAATAAACAAATAAATAAAAAAAAAAATTACTGTCAATTCTTAAAAAATCATCCAGAATTACAAACAAATATTTAAAACTTTGAAGTATAAAAACAACAAAATTGTTTTTTTTTTTTAATTTGTATTCATTGTAAGTTGTAATACATACTTCGATTGGAGTCAATGGTTTAAGTTGTTCAAATCAATAAAAAAAAGTTATAAAATTCATCGTAAAATAAATCAGCATTTAAATCTTTCCTGCTCACATCAGGTTAGGTTAAAAAAGTTGGTTAAAAAAAGTAAAAGCGTCTTACATTGTACCTAAGTATAGGTAAACTATAGCGGGATTATAACTACTCTTTAGTTGTAAATCATAATTGTATTTTGAAATATTTTTTACAATCGTTATCGGGAAGTAGAAATAATATTCTTTTGCACGCTCTTGTTCTAATGCTCGTGTTCCTATTTATCTTTTTACAGTTTTGGCAAGTCATATCCGAGGAACACGGAATCGACTACTCAGGCTTCTACAAAGGAACATCCGACCTACAGTTGGAACGCATTAACGTTTATTACAATGAAGGGTCCGGTAAGGCACTTGATGTATTATAAATACGTTGGTCTCGTCTGATAATTATGTTCTGTATAATAGCCATCACGGCTTTCGAGTTCAACGACGAGGCCAATCGACGATAATTATTCTGTCGCGCACCGACTGATGATAATAGTGCACTTATTTATAAATATGTGTTGTGTTTATGTTATATATATATGTATATATTACGACCAATGTCCGGATGTTGGAAAAAGTTAAGATTTACCAGATAGTGTAAATTATATTACATTATATTACGTTATATACAACCGATTATGATTATCATAACCACGTTTATTAGAACTCCGAACGGAATGGTCAAATTAGGCCGTGTGAAAGGATATGTTGTATTCCCGTGGAGTTATTTTCTTTGATGTTTATAATAATGTGGTTTCAAAAGAATTTCTCATAAAATATTGGAGAAACTTTCAGAAAAGTCAAAACCAAGTGACATACGACTATAGCTAAAACAATTGCACATTTTACGAGAGCTATTCTCAGTTTTTGCAACTGTTAACATTCTTAAAAATTTATTTTTATGGTTATTTGTTTTTCACCTTAATCACTGGTTATTATTTATTTATACTTAAATTGTGTATAAATATGTTTGCGTAGTAAATCGTTCATACGGTTCAGTGTTGGGTACACAATAATAATATAACACAGAACAGTCACGTAAAAAATGTATTTATTTTTATTTTTTAACTTAAGGAGTACAATTTTATTTCGTAAGCATTTGTTTAAAATATGTAGGTTATTTAATGGAATTTTCGCTTGAGCAAACTAAACAAATTTAAAATGATTTACACAAAATACTATTTAGTTGATGACTTCATTAGTTTTGCACAAATTGCTATGATAATTATTAAAATACAATTAATTTACTGTTTAACATTTCTGAAAGCTTTATTAATGCGTAATGATTTAAAGACTTTAAGTAAATATTATTCTACGAACATAGCACTCATAACATTGATACTTGAGACGTAATAATTATATTTAATGTCATGTCATAACGAGCTATGAAATATAATACTAATTGTAGTACATTCAAACAAAAGAAAAAACATTTTTAACACAATCAATAATAGTTGGAAATATATAATTAAAATATCTTAACATAAAAAAGACATTATACAATTGAAATACGGTGCCCCTCTCATTATTAAATATATATAAGACATACCATCAGCTATATCAATGACTGGATACCCGCATTATCTTTGGAATGCTGAAGAAATGGAGTGACGGTAGTTAACGAGATTGAAAATATGGAACCCCTGTACATAAAATACAGCGGTAGTTTAAGAACATTAATTAATATCATGTCATTCTATATCTGAACAAAATATAGATACGCTATGACTAGGGCCCGGAAGTTGTAGGAGTTAAAAAATGTAAAATATGCATGATAAAATGTTAAAATACCCATTAAAAATGTTAAATAAACGAAAAATATTATTCTGAATTCCAATAAAAAATGGATAAATTAATAAATTAAAATTATACACAGCAACTATTTATAACGGAAAAAAATGTATAACTGGTTGACATTTTGACATCTTATTGAACTGAAAAATTCGGTATTTTTTTAAGTTATATACGAAAAAAATACATTTTTAATAATTATTGTTGTTTATTGCATTGAACCACCAATACTTTCTTAAGATTTTAAATTTCAATTGACCGACAATTATTCAATAGAAGATTTTTAAATCGAGAAAAACTTCTTTCAATGTCAACTAGAGATTTTACTATAATATTTAGATGAAGAAAGAAAAAAAACAATTTCTTTTACAAATTATTAAATATGTGTAATATACATATGAAAATCAACTAAATATGCATTTTTTCCTAAATTTGATCAAATATGCAAACTATGCATATTCAATTTGTGATTTTTAAATTCACCCTTGTATTACTCGGATTTCTAGCTTGGTCTGCTATAAACTGAGAAAATATAGAACAATTTGGGACTCCTACAACTTTCGAACTCTATGACTATCGACTTCAGGCCTAGAAAGATAAAACAAAATTATTTGATCTCATTATACGAATGCTAGTCCTTGAATGTGAATACTAACGTGATGAGTTTAGTGATATGACTCTGTCCGGTGTTTAATTATTAGGAGGTAATGAATTTTGAAAATCTACACTTTTTATGTTCTGATGATAGATATACGTGAATGTGTCGATAAATATTTAAGAATTTCAAAAGTATTAGACACACATTAAAAAGTTAGAGAATATGAGAGAGTAGTAAAGATATTTTTAAAGATACTTTGTAATTTACAATAGGCAAGTGATAAATAATGTATTTTATTTTAAGATAATTATTTTACATTCAATTCGAGTAATTATAAAAAAGGTATTTTTTTTTTGTGAGTACAGTATCATTGCTAAAGATTTATATATTAGAAAAGTGTCCAAACTGATTATATTTATCACAATTTGAATAATGTAAAATAGACAAATTAAAATATTTTCATGGATCTAATTCTTAGACAAATTTTATTTTTGGGATTAAAAACTACATTACGTAACTTTTGTTGAAATATTAAAAATTGTAAGCACTGCACTCGTGTATAAAAATAAACTTATAAGTCACTTAAACACATATCTGTGTCATAAAACACAACGTATACATAATTTATATACTATACATAATAAGCATTAATAAAACTTACACAGATCATAATGTTATACGAATATGAAAATGTGAATACGTTGTTGATAATATCGTACAATTGAGCCGTAGTCCGTAGAGAAGACCTAAGTGTAAAATTTGAACTGCTATGGAACGAAATACATACTATAAATTCCTTTTCATTTTTGTACAGTTTTAACTACTTTGTATGTTGTCGTATGAGAGCATTATTAACTCATGATCATGTTTGTTATATTGGATTATAGCTGCAAATCGTTCGGAAGGTGGGAAGTACGTACCACGAGCTGTGTTGCTCGATTTGGAGCCCGGAACTATGGAATCTATCCGGTCCGGACCTTACGGCGTGCTTTTCCGACCGGACAACTTCGTCTTCGGTCAGTCGGGTGCCGGAAACAATTGGGCTAAAGGGCATTACACGGAGGGCGCCGAACTCGTGGACGCCGTGTTGGATGTAGTGCGAAAAGAGAGTGAAAATTGCGACTGCCTGCAGGTAAAAATAAAACTACCAATACGATTCGTTAAATATTCATTGTCCAAACGATTCCACCTATATTAGTAGTAGTCCAATATATACTGTTCATATAAACGCATAATCCATTTATCTACGAATCGCTGACAAAGTGATCAGTTGGTTTCAAGTTTTTGAAACTGTGACGAAAGAACTAATGATCCTTGAACAGTTGAAAATTTATTTGATTTTAAAAATATAAACGTCCGACACATTTTGACGTGTTTAAATTAATAATTAAATATAACTGATTAAAAATGAAACTTCGTACAACCTGACAGATAATTAACTTGGGACATAGTTTTTTTCTGAAATGGCCGTTCGCCAAATGATTTGTTTTTGCTGACCCCAGTCATAAGGTTCCCGAGAATGATTAGTGGCTACTGCGAGATCTGGATATCTAGCCGAGTCTAGTAGCCTAAACTGGGCCAGATTTTTTAGTATCTCATCAAACATTTTCTATTGGCTATTAGAAAGCATGCTGAATATAAAATAATAATTAATATACATTGCAGAACTTTTAAACTCTGGAATTTTAGATATATAATAGTACTATATGCTGGTTATTAAATTAACCGTACATGGTTTGCTTTAATATCGACTCACGACTATTTATATGGTTATCAATTAGTACTGGACCATATGTTAATATCAGACATAGACTGTACTTACCTGCGTACAAGGGCGAATGATTTTTATAATTCAAAGGGGTTATAATTTAAGATAATACGTTGTCCGTTTTTAAATCGTAGCTGATTAGTTTAAAGCTAAATCTTCGGATTCCTGTGGTTTTTTTTTTAAAATTTTTTTGTATTGAGATCGGGGACTTTAAACTCTAACTTGACCGTGCCCTGCTTGCATATAAAACCATCACGATGCTATAATGCGTTCTACGTTGGTTCAGGGATTCCAACTGGCTCACTCGTTGGGCGGCGGTACCGGTTCCGGATTGGGCACGCTTCTCATATCAAAGATCCGCGAGGAATACCCGGACCGGATAATGAACACGTACTCGGTGATGCCGTCGCCGAAAGTGTCAGACACGGTGGTGGAGCCGTACAACGCGACGTTGTCCGTGCATCAGCTGGTCGAGAACACGGACGAATCGTACCTGATTGACAACGAGGCGCTGTACGACATTTGCTTCCGGACGCTGAAGCTGACCAACCCCACGTACGGCGACCTCAACCACCTGGTGTCGCTGACCATGTCCGGTGTGACCACGTGCCTCCGGTTCCCCGGCCAGTTGAACGCCGACCTTCGCAAGTTGGCCGTCAATATGGTCCCGTTCCCGCGGCTCCACTTCTTCATGCCCGGGTTCGCACCACTCACGGCCCGCGGCAGCCAATCGTACCGGGCCATGAGCGTGCCCGAGCTCACGCAACAGATGTTCGACGCCAAGAACATGATGGTCGCCTGCGATCCCCGACACGGTCGTTATCTCACCGTAGCTGCCATATTCCGGTAATTTTATTTTAATTCAATACGAGCTTGGTCCAAAGTACAGTAGTAGGTATTCACGTATAATACGAGTTCGGTAGAAGTGACACGGGATTAGGTATGACTACAACAGATATTCAGGGGCGTCAGTCGCCCGCCTCATGGCCTTTTTTCTTTGAAATTTTGTTATTTATTATTTATATCGCACTTGGAAAATAAATAAATGTGAATACATGAATGAAGTTCGCTTCCTTCTATAAAAAAGTCTAGGGACGCTACTGCAGGAATGAAGGGTGGGTGTTGGCTAGATACAATAATCGGTCAAATGGATTATTCTGACTTGTATCAGTAGAGCGTATGGAATAGAAAACGAAATAATAGAGCGAGTTGGACGCGAAAGCGTAAAAAGGAAAAGAGCATGAAACCCCATTCAGCAGAATCGTCAATATGATTAGTAAGGAACTTAATGCTGTTATTTATTATTTTAAAAGCCATAGTTAACAAACCTAGTTCATGGAGGACTAGGTAGTAATTGTATAATGGACGGGGAATTATCTAGTGTTGAATAAAAAAAACGCCTTTGAAATCGCTCTAAGGTAACAAAGTCTGAAGCTGTATGGGGGTGTTATAAGACTAATCCGTATTCAATCTGGGGCCGAACTAACGAGCAATAAAGGGCCTTTATGGAAGAAGTGAGTATAATGTTGGACGATATCCATTATAATTTGATTATATACAAGATATATCAAAATATTGTAGGCACGTAATCGAGTTCCCTTCAGGCTTATGCTAATAACCGATTCGCAGACTATCCGCTATACCATGTCATCAAAGGTCCTTGTCACACGTACGGCTGAGTTTAGACAATATTTGGATATTTTTTACCATAGTTTTACTTACTTTTCATGTCCTTTTTGATATTCCCGATCTATACTACTAGACTTATACCAATACATTTTTCCAAAATCTCCAAGAAAATTATTTGAAGTTTTATGATCTTGAAAATAATTTATTTATATTTTTTTAAACACTGTATGATAATAGTTTAGAAAAAACCATTATTTAGATGTTTCATTATTTGAAAATATGTTAATCTACTTACTTTACAATAATAAAAAAATTTGAGTCCACTATCCAAATTCAATATGATCTCTGTCTATATGTTTGTAGGTGGTGCATTAGATACAATTATCGTTATTTATTTATTATTATTTATTTTTTTAATAATTTATTTTTTAAATTAATAGTGGTCGTATGTCCATGAAAGAGGTGGACGAGCAGATGTTAAATGTTCAAAACAAAAATTCCAGCTATTTTGTTGATTGGATTCCTAACAATGTAAAAACAGCAGTTTGTGACATACCGCCTTGCGGTCTTAAGATGAGTTCTACATTTATTGGAAATACTACAGCTATCCAAGAGCTGTTCAAACGCATATCTGAACAGTTTTCTGCCATGTTTAGACGAAAGGCTTTCTTACATTGGTACACTGGAGAAGGTATGGACGAGATGGAATTTACTGAAGCTGAATCCAACATGAATGATTTGATATCTGAATATCAACAGTATCAGGTGAACTTTAAGTTTTTTAAATATTTAAAAAGTTTATATTATATTATATATAAACAATTAAATTAAACCTGATCAATTATATTACAGGAAGCGTCAGTAGATGAAGAGTACATAGAAGAAGAAGAAACTGAAGAGAGGGACATGTGTGATTAAATAGATAGTTGATTTCTTCGTAACATAATCTTATTATAAGTATTTTTTTTTTTTTTTAAAAAAAACATGTATAATTTAGGCTCAATTAAATTATTTTAAATGTTGTACTTCATTTTAATTTTGTTTTGTATTTTAATAGTTGGTGATTTATATATTATATATTTTAACTAATAAATTATTATCAGTATTTAAAATGCAAGTTATAATAATAATAATAATAATAAAAAAAATAGTAATTACAATAATAATAAAAAAAAACATTATAAAACAGTATATACAAATAGTTTATAAAAGTAATATATGTCTTAGTTTAATAATATAAAAGATAAAAACAATAATTTACTTAATTTTTTATTCTGAAGATTTATAGTTTGGTTTCGTGTCGAATGGTAAGAGCATTACGATCAGGCAGTCGTAAGGGCCGAGGTGATAACTTAGGCTGTGATGTGTCAGATTCATCATCACCTGAGTCTACATCTCCATCACTAGAGTTAGTAGAAGCAACAATATGATCAGATCGAACTGTTCTTCTAGGCCTAACTTTTCTATAGAATTTAAATTCTCTGGGCAATGTGTATGAACGTGGTAGTGATATTTGAGAATCTAAATCAGATGGCGATTTGTATGACTTGTACATTAATGTGAGCACTTGGTCATTTGATTGAGCATTGTTATCTTGTGGGCTAAAAATGCAACTTAAGTTAATATTTGAAAATGTATTTAATAAAAAAATATTTATATTGAGAGGTACAAGTTTTTACCTATAAGGTGGGGCTATCCAGTTCTGTTGTTGTAGGTATCCTTGAGGAGATAATAGTACTTCTCCATTCTCAGTTGGTCTCTTTAGTTTACCTTGTCTAATTTCCTCTTCAATTGCTCTAAGTTCAGCAAGTTGATTTTGTCTCTTTTCCTGCAACTTCTGTCTAATATCAACATGAGAACCAACACTTTCGTTTTCACTAGAACCTTGTTGACTATGGATTGAAGGGGGCGGTTTACACCAAAATGCAACACTGTCTCTGCCATTTGTACCAGATGGTGGAGGTACAAATGTGGTAGGCTTTTTTTTTTTACGTTTTTGCATTGCTGCCACATATGGATTTGTGAAACGACAATTGAAAACACCAGGTATACCGTTATGTACGCTAGCGGGCAATGCACTATAATACCTCTGGTTTCTTTGTAGGGTTGGTGGTGGTTCACTAGAAATAGGTTGATTGTGGAAACCTCCTGGTGGTATGTTCTCATATACACTGCTGAAGCTATGCCTTCTTATAAGGTCAGCCTAAAAATTAAAATATTTAGTTAGTGTGTTATCATAAAATATGTGATTAAATGTGTACATACTTTGCCATTGGGCACATTTAGTTGATCTTTATACTTGGCTTCCAACGCTAATTTTGCTGTTGAATTGTTACTATTTGTAGTACTCAATCTACCGCCAGATTCATATTTTAATCTTCTTACATGAAAAAATTGGTAGTAAATTGCCATGAACACAAGACCGCAACAAAATAGTCCAAATACAACAAATGGTTTAATTGCATCACCACTACCCAAGCTCCACACAAACATAAGGAGAGCGTTTTCTAATGCCATCACTACATAAAACATTAACTGAAAAAGTACATACAAATAATTACTTATATTGGATTGTTATATATATTGTTATTGGGGAAAAATATTTATTTATAAAATATTAATTAAGTAATTAATTTATTGTTTGGATGGAGTTAATTTTATAAATTCCAAAAATATGTACATATTTAAGTAATGATAATACAACATGAAAAAAAAATTACAGATAGATTAATAATAGATTAATGATCAACTACAGAATCTAATTAATTGATGTTGCATTACATTTTAATGTCACAACACTTAATAATAAAATAAACAAAAGAAAACTTGGACAGGAAGAAAACACAACATTATACTATAGTATAATTTAAACAAGCATATATATATAAGTATAAAATAAGTAGGTATGGAAAAAATACTGTATATTAAATGATTAATGCATTACTTATATATTATTATCATTAAACTTTAATATTTTTTTGCTACATTTCTACAATGAAATACTCACCATTTTTTCTCTATGGTTATTTTCTAATAGGTTCACATATTCAAAAGTGAATACAAAGGCTAGAAGAGCAAACAAGAACGCCTTACGTTTAGGTGACATTCGTTCTCCATGAAACACATTTTTAGGTGAATGCAACCATAGTAGCATCGATAACCAATGCAAGCCAAGTACTAAAAGTACCCAATATTTGTACATAGCTGCATAGGCAGTCAATGAAATAACCCTGGCTCCAACAGTGCCCAAGCGCCAAAGGAACTGTGAAATAAAAACAAACTATGAAGTTAAATATTAACATATATACATAACAGCTCATTTATTATTTATATTCACAAAAATTATAGTATGAAAATATTGATCGGATGATATCTTTTATTTCAAATTAAAAAGAGTTAATTTATATAGTAGGTCCAAATTGTTTAAAAGTATTTGGGTTCTAGTATGCAATTACTTTTAAGTAACATATTTATTTGTATAATTTTTTTATTCATGCATATTTGTGTTGGATAAATATCAAAACTAAATTTAAATTGTTAAGAAAATAATATACTCATGATAACATGTAATAAAAAAAAAAAAAAATTTGAAATAATAAAAATACTTGGAAAATATAAGTATTTTTTATTGAGATATAATGGATTTTGATTTCAGTTCTTTAACAAAAGTTTCTGTACTTCATAGACTTAGAGATTTGTAGCTCTAAAATCTAGAATCAGGTTCAGTTTTAGATTCTAGTTCCTGGATTGGATCTATCAACCAAAACTATAAGCGGTTGTACTGTGTACAGCGTTTACAATATCTATTGCACAAAAATTTAAAAAACCAAGCTGTATGTACACTGTTGGCAGTATAATGTGATGTAGGCTTCATACCTGAAATATGACACCAAGCCAAGTGAGGACTAGTCTGTGGACGTTTTGCATGCGCACGTTCTTGCCAAAAGAGGCAAGGGCCCAACACACGCTAACGGTGGACAAGGTAATGGCTACTTTGTTCAGATCTCGCAAGTGTTTCCAAGCACCTTCATCTGTCCACAGCAGATAGGACTGCAGCAGTAGCAGTGGCATGGACTCACAGAAAGCGTGCAACAAGCGCAGCATGCACAAGTCGCGCACCTCGAACTTGACGTACCTGAGATCGACGGGCAGGAAAAGTTTGAAGTATCTGGGTGATAAAAGTAACGGTATGGATTAACAAAAACTATTCGGACGGCATTGGTGTCTGTGCGTTTCAATTACCTCCAGAGGACGCCGAGCTGGACGAAGTGTAACCCTTGCACGGCCGAGCGTTTCAGCCGGTCGGACAGCGTGGACTTGTCGCCGACGGTGCGCGCGGCCAGGTACCAGCGCAGCGACATGGTTTGCTCGACGGTGGCCGACGCGCCTACGAACAGCATGGTGAGACCGAACGGCACGTAGCGGCCGTACGAGTAGAGCGCGTAGCCCATGACCACGTCGAACACGATGTCGCAGAAGTAAGCGGCCAGCGAGATGATGTTGAAGAGCACGTCGCACAGCGGCAGGAACTCATACTGGGCCATGGGACGATGGGTCGAGTGATCATGTTTCGGCGCGGCGGCAGCGGCGGCGGCGGAAGGTCGACGGGGCAGCGCGTCAATCGAGAGACTTTAACGGCCAGTGACGGCGGTGTACGGGTGTGTAGCGCGCGTACATGCGTGTGCCGTGACGCGGTGGTGCAGCTGCTGCTCGGCAATCGGACCGACACCGACGGGTCCGCGGCACACACGGTCCCGAGCCGTACGCGGGGCGGCAGCGGACGGGCCTTGAGCAAAATGTACGGGAAGAACGGTGCGCCCAACGGCCGATCGGTGGCGGCAAAACTATCGACGAACCTTTGTCGGCGGGATCCGCGGTCCACTTGCGCTCGTTCCGCGTTCGTCGTCGTCACTCGTAACGCGTTCACACACGGCCCGGATGCTGCGGAGACACGCACATACGCACGCGAACGACCGCACGCTCTCTCACACGTACATTCTCGCGGTGACGCGCATATTTGCCAACAGGTGGCGGCGCGCTCTGCTTCGTCGGCCACCGTCTCGCGTCGTCCCGGTCCGTCAGTCGCGTCTCCTCCGCGTTCTCTCCGGACGTTTTTTGACGTGACGGTTTCCCTCACTCCCACCCGACGACAAACGCGAGAACCGGTTTCGGAATCCTTATACGCACGAGAGCAGAAAAATTACCTCGGCCAAACGCGTACGCGTTGATCACTTACGGATGGACGTCCGTTGCGTACCGGTTCGCCGTGATGACACATGCCCCTGAGTTTCTTTTCCACACGAGTTTCAAAAACGGCCCATTCATCCCTTAACCTTTAGACTAAACCTAAGGGGGGTATAGCCAACCTAAGTATTCCCATAGCCCTTCCAGGCAGTGGTTTAAGTGATAAAAATGTTGAGGGGACACTAATAATCACCAACAATTGAGGAGCGTTCCCTTACCAAAGTTTAAATTCGACCAAAATTATTTAGGTAGCCCATAAGAAATCTATCATTTTTTCATTTACACACATTTGTTTCTAAAATGTTTTATAGGGTGTACAAACTAAAATAAAATTTCCTCAAAAAAAAAAAAAAAGAACAACATATTATTATGCCGTGTTAGTAAAAACAAATTGTTTTAAAATGTTCAGAAAAACGAATTTAAATTTTTAAGAAGTTTTAATTTGTCAGTCACATATTTTGTAAAAAAAATTATTTTTCATATTTTAGTACATTTTGAGGATTAGAGAATATTAAACCTATATTGTATAATTTAAAATATATGTTGTCTGTAGAAAATATCATATTTGTTCAATTCATAAATTTGGACTTTTATGTTACAAAAAAAAAAAAAACTGGGTATAAAAAATAACTAAAACAAAACAATAATAGATAATTGTTTTACTTTATTATTAAATAATATGATCTCTTGACTTAAATTTATTGTGATGTTTTTTATTTTACATATGAAAAATTTATAAAAGTTATCTTGAATTTTCTACTGAACACAATTTTTTTTGTTACACAAGATATGTGGTATATAAGAGTTAATAGGTACATGTTTAAAAAAAAAAAAAACAAAAATTCATACAACTATTAACAATATATACATATATACTTACATGAAATATATACATTGTGTTTATAATATTATACGTAATTAAATAATCAGCATATTTGAGCATATTTTGAAGAAAAGAAAATATTTCTTGGATATAAGCATTTTTTGATTTTATTTTATTAGCTTTTAAGGTAATATTTAGTGCATATTTTGAGGTTTTTTAGTCCATATATTAAACATTAAAAAACTTAAGAATTCTCTATCTAACTATAACTTAAAAACTTACCTAACCTATATTTCATTGTAACTTATTTATACTATGACTATACTAACAAAAACAAAAAAACAAAAACTTTTAACTTAATATCATTAGTACTGTCTATAACATATCACTTCAGTTTTAGAATAGCCTTTATAACAATAAATTATTTGTCGGTGTGTCGAGTACGGCATAAGGTATTTTTAACTTTTATGTATACCGTACACAGAAAGTGTTATTTACACGAGCATAATAAGACACAGGGTCTGTTAAATCACTGAATATATGTTTCATATATTCTTTAATTAAATTAATCCATGATTACGAGAATATTTTGTTAATTTCTTATACATCGTTAGAGATGTGAGCTTGTATTATACAGTGGTATAAAACTGTATTATACAAGGTATTATACGCATGTTATACAATTATTTTATATATATGGTATAAAAAAAAAAAAAGAAGAAGGCGTTGTTTATAGTTATTTCAGTTACTCAACTATACATTTTTTAGTAGTAGGTATCTATAGAATGGATCTCTAATAAAATACATTATTATTATAAAAATGAAAAATATACAATATAATTGTAATCATGTTTATTTAGCATTCAGGTGTTAAAAATGACTTAAATCAATTTATTATACTATTATAATATTTAAATATTGTAAGTATAAGTACAATGATATACTATATAACTACATAAGTATTAACTATAGTTTTCTATTTATTTATATTTAAAACAGATATATTTATATGTATAACATACATACGTATGGTACCTACAACACAATTGCAAATTGGTAGCATGACTAAATATTAATTTGGTGAATTAGGTCTAAAATAATTCTTATATTTAGCGTTTTTACATTTTTCTAACTTTCTAGCCATTTTTTTTTCCATTATTCCATTTTAAAATAATTAGTATTTCATAATTATCAATGAGATTATAACCTTTGTTAAATTTCTTATAGTTGAAGGTACTGCAAGGTTCTGAATGATATAATATCAGTATAATACGGCATTATATAAAAAAAATAAAAAATACTATATATTAAGATCTCTTCATATCGCAATGTATTACATTATGTACAATTACAATGACATTATGTTACACATATATATCATTATAAATTTTTTTTCTACTTGTTCAAATTTATTAATATAATAATATATTTTGTACTTTATGTGATAAATACTAACGCCGTTTAACGTCCCCCGGACCTTGGAGACTTGAATTAAAGGGGACGCATAATCGTACCATCAATAAGAAGGGGAACTCGGTACTCCTTCTTCCACTGCAACCACTGATTCCAGCTTAAAAATAACGAATCTCAGCATTTTGTGTTTGAGATTGAGATAGAATCTCATCATCTATTTCTACAACTTCAACACACAAAATAATTGTTTAGTATGAAATTTCTTGTTATTCAGCGTATTATGGCTTTCACTTTACTTAGAAGTATCTAAAATCAAAATTTGGTTAATAAATTCACGTTTTTTTCATCTTCTTGCCATTATTTGATTTGAACCCATAATAATAAATAGCGAAAAATTTTGTCTGTATATAAATTAGTAAACGAGGGCATGGGATCTTAGCCGCTATAGTTCTGCGTTATCCTGGTACTTATATTTTCTCCCAAAATGTAAGTTATAGTTGTACCTATGCCCTTAGATCATATTCCATATATGAGATAGACCCGTGGGTTATGGTAATCACAAAGTAAAGCAATTAAACTTAATGTAACCGCTGAATACGCGCGTTTATTGATTAAAATAAAAGTTGGCACAAGGAATCGTATGCAATCCATGATGAATGCACAATAAAGGGGCTCTGGACTCAGCATGGCCAACTGCTGTATTTTACGTACCGACTACACGTGATATTAACTACATACCGTTTTTTAGTCTCTAAGCAGTGTAAATGGTCTAAGCTTTATCTGTTGTTATGTTATGTGCACAGATTTGTTTATCTATGGTATATCATAATTAAGAAGTCCATCGAGAATATATATCAAACTTTGGTTGGTTGAGCGTATAATCGCAATTTTTGAGCATTTTTTATACTTGGCCGTTTCTCGACATACCTATTCTAAATATTCACGGGCTTAATTTACGATTCCCATAATTTTGTTGGGCTTGAACTTTTTGGCATAATTTGGGGGGGGGGGGGGTTAGGTGGGCATTTTCTCTTTTTTGATTAGAAAAGCTACCGAGAGAGTTAGTTGTTGCAGTTTATAGTAAAAAATTTATAGTGAAAGATTATAGTGAAATTACTAGCCGTTTATAATGAAAAATCATGTACATTTTTATAATTTTGAGGAATATATTACTGTATACTAGACAACTATTATTACAGTAGTAATTAATGGTTGGTTTCATTTATGAATTAATACATCGTATGTGTGACTTACATGTATGTAAGATATAGATATACTCGTATTTTTGTCTGTCAAACGAAAAGATGATGAAGATGAAAACATTATTTACACATGAACTATAAGTTTATGTGATAATTCTTATAATTCTTAAGTGTAACATTTTCTAATCTTCAATTCCTGATTGTTTTAATTTCAAAAACTTTTATTTATTGACTTTTCTTAATAATTATAATAATTTTAAAATGAATGATTTAATACTCCAATGTTTGTTAATTCTTTATTTAATAATTTTATCCTTTTTAACTTCCCAGGCTCCTTACTGGTTTTCATAGATAGTTCTATGTCAGTTAGTTTGATGGGTCTCTTTTTTTTTTTTTATTCCTATTTTTAATTTTTTTTTTCTCAAAAATTAAGCTTTGTATTGTTAATTAATGTTGAATATTATGCAATAATAAACCGTCTATAATTCATGTTTACTTTTGATTCCAAAAAATTCATTGTTATTTCCGATTCTCAGTCATATCTCTTTGCTATCTCCTCAAAATCTTTCAGTTCTTTACTTGGTTCTTAATTTCAGATCCCTAATTTTTTGTCTTACTTTCAACAATAAAATCCCATCCATCGTAAACTTTTCCGCAACGCTTGGCAAACTAATTGGACATCTCTACTTCTCAACTTTGCCAAATGCCAGTGGCGGAGTGACCGTGGTTTTTTTGAGACAAGTGTCCCAGACAAAAAATTGGTGGGTGGGTGGGTGGTTGGAAAATGTCAAAGCTGGCAGGTTTTATTTTTTCAATAGGAAAACACAGATCAGATGGTAGGTAATTAAAACAAGACTCCGTTCGACTATGTGCCAATCTAAATTGGAGAGTTTATTAATCCTTTCGTGTGAGAGAGATAAAGACATTAATATAGAAGAAGCAATCAATACTTTTGGAATGACATCTTCTGTTTTAAAAAAAGCCTTAATGTATACTTAAATAATAAAATTTATGTATAAATAATACAAATATAAATAATAATAAATATTAATTAAATATTTCTACTTCCTAAAAATTATATTCTTTACATGTCTTAACTGACATGAAGTGTATGTCTTTTCTGAATTTCAGGGGTAGGTGGTTTGAAAAAATAATGTGTCCCACGGATTAAAATTGTTCGCGCCGCCACTGTCAAATGCCATAGATATACTATAGCATAGGTTCTTAATCCGGGGTCCATGGATCCCTTGGGGTTCCGTAGATGGTTACTCAGAGGTCCACGGGGTGGCTGTGAGTTTTTTTGAAATAAACCAAAATTAAATTTATTTAGATAGCGTTTTTAAGATAATTATAATTGTTAAAACACTTGAAAGCCATTTGAAAGACAACAATGCTTTTAAATATAAAACTTAGATTACGATAATCTTATATGACATATAAAGCTATCGTAATCGTAAAATAATATAACATGGCAATACAATCTAACAAGGATTTCAATTTTACACGGAAACCTTTCATATCTGTTGACCCGTCGCCGCATAATAAAGATTATATTTATTTATATATATATATTTTTTTTTTTTTTTTGAAGGGGGAGGTCCGTGATTATATTTTATGCTTTAAAAGGATCCATGGCCAAGAAAAGGTTAAGTATCTATGTATTATAGTATCACGCCCGTAATTCCAAAATACCCGTGGTTTAGCAAATTTAACATTCCTTTGCATCTGATAATCGCATTTTCCTACCTTCAAATATGACATACATACATAGTAGTCTACTATCCCACCACTCGTTCAAACTTTTTCACAATTCTCCCTCTCTGAAAATACTCTAAAAACGGCAAAATATGCTCTAAAAATGCAGATAAAGTTTAATTTGTCATAAAATGTAAAAAAAATGCAAAATAAAAATTACATTAAATTAATCAATATCACTTGATACATATTTTCTACTTATGTGTTTGGACATCAGAAAAAACGATACATTTGCATCAAAATCCTAGCTATAATTATAATGAACGAAAAAATATAAATTGTTCATAATGATAATAACTGCAATGAAAAAATACAGTAGGTAATATGATTTTGTACGTAGGTCACGTGTTGGATCGTTACTACTTTTTTTATACAAGTGTGAGTTGCCAAACTTTTTTTCAATGTCGAGTTCAAAAGATGTAAGCTTGTCATGTTAATTATTGAAGTATGTGTCTGTATTAATTATTATCTATTTAAAAATATATTTATTTATAAAAATTAACCATCATGTTTTTTAATTTACAGCCCTGTAGGATAAATATTTTACAAACGCATGCTTACTTAAAATGGTAACCAAATTAGTTTGTACTTCTTTTGGTGGGTTTTGAATTTAAAATATTAGATGACCGAAAACATTTGGTCCATTAAAACTGTATACATTGGTGCAACTAAGAGGATATACAGGGGATTAATATACTCCTAAGTTTAAAATGTGTTCCCACACCTAAGGTATTATAATAAAATATATAGTGTAAAGATATGGTAGTAGTAAGGGTGAAGTCTCTGTGAGCTCTTCACAATTTATGCATCTTCAAAAATATTAGTTTAGTTGCGCTTATACCCAATAGATTTTTAAACAAGTTAACTAGGAGACACAAATATCCCTCAGAGAAAATATTTTGTCACTTAATTTAGAGAAATTTGAAAAAATGGATGAAACACAAACATTTTTAAATTATATAAAAAAAATAATTAGTTTATGCACGATGGATAATTTTGTATATAATACAATATACTGTTATATTATCGATATTTATTTTTTCCACCACTATTAAGATTTATTTTTAATAATTATACGGAGTGGACTTGACATACGACCATCATTGACTATATTGAGAAAAAAATGGTTTGTCGCTCATAGAAAATTCTTTAAAAAACTACTTATACTCGAGTGCAATATCTAAAGAATTATAATGGTCCGTATAATTTTTCGTTTTTATGGCTATAAAATATTATACTTATTCAGATAATCAATACTTCGATCTCCTATAAAATATTCCATAATTTAATAGTTACGAAGTCGAATGGTATTTGGCATTAACATTTCAGCTGGAAACTAAACTGTTTTAATATTTTGTTACAGAATTAATCGAATATAACTAATTATATTTAGAAATATTTAATGAATTGTAATAAAATAAATAGTAATAAAACGAAATGTTAATTAAATACAATTAGCCCATCATTATTATTGAATCTTCCATACACAGTTAATAAACTATGTAATATTATATTATCTTCTTTACCCTGACCTTTTATCTACTATAATATGGTGTCTGCTATCCTAGTCCTCCACCATCAGAGTTTACTTATGATTGGTTGTAGAAGCTATTTTTATTTTTTTGATAATCACATGAGACACAATTATTCAAACACTTATAGTGATTAATTTATACGTTTTGATTGTATTGATAGAGATTAATTATTAATAATTATTTTTGCTACCAACCAGTGAAATTAATCCGTGATTTCATCATGTCATATAATATTATAATCTGTATTTTAACTAAAAACTTTCTGTTCTTCAAATTTCCTAGTTGGTTCCTTTACGTTTTATTTCATTTTTTATTTGATTATATATAAAATATCATACAGTATCGTCAGCCACATTCCAAAGACTCGGTGCAGTATATATTTTTGTCGCTTTAATATTTAATATTTTTTTCCCTTTTTTCTATAAATAGTGTCTAATGTATCGTTTAATATATATTTATTTTTAATGTACATTGTACAAATTCAGCCAACTTATTTGAATCTGCAACTTACTAGAAACCATCTCTGTAACAATCATTTATAGGTTAGCCCATTAGTATAATAGTACATACATTTTACACTTACTACTACTACTATACTACACTAACTTATTGTGAGGTTATTATCCATTAATTAGTTAATCATTTTAATTTAATTAAAACGTGAAGTTAATATAAAATAATTTTTACTTACCAAGTTCATTATTTAATTAAAATTACTTTTACCTTTCTTTAACTTAAATACATTTTGTAGAAAATTATTCATGTACCTATATAAAACTGAAATTAAGTGAGGTGTTAAGTGTAAATTAATTCAGCTGTACTAAAATAATAGTAATGTAAATTATAATTAACTTTTTATTTTAAATATGATTAATAAATATTTTACGTCAAAGATCATATTTTGTCTTATTATTTAAGGTAAAAATGGAATTTGATGATAATTTTAATGTTAAAGCATCTCAGAATCCTAGATCCAGCGCAAATATATTTGAAATCATTACATTCAGGTAACATATTTTTTCTTTATATTTACAGTTAAGTTAAATTTAATTATTTGAACAGTGATTGTAAAATATTATATATTATGTTGATAATGTAGTCGTATGGGCAATATTTAAGCTTAAAAACTAAATTCGAATAATCATATTAAATATGGTTAATATTGAGTTTAAATTCTCAAATTTATAATGTTCTATTTTGAATTCGAAACAAAACAATTATCAATCATATATGATGTAGGTATAATGTATTGATTATACAATAGCTTATTTTTAATTTGCTTGTAAGTTATTAATCTATTTTAATGTTAACACGTAATCCGACCGATGTACACAATTCACAAACTAACTTACTTTGATACTTTGACAATTTGCAAACTAATTGAAAATATATGCTATTAATAATAGTACTATAAGTATTAATAAGTTCACTAAGTTGTTTATTTATTGCTGTATAATTTTTGGAATAATTTTCAAAAAACTCCTTAAATACTTCGGAATTTTACTTTACTTATTAAAGGGATGAAAAACTTTTATATGAATAAATATATTAAAATATTTTTATTTTGTTTTATTCAGCTGGTTGTTAGACTTGTTGAAAAAAGGACAAACGAAAGATTTAGAAATAAAGGATTTATACTCGACTTTAAGTGACCATACATCGTCATTGTTAAGCAAAGATTTAGAAAAGTGAACATATTCGAAACTAAAACTATATTTTTTATTAACTATTATATTTTGGTATTTTTTATTAAAGTAAATGGAGACTAGAGTTGGAAAATACACACAAGACAAATAAACAACCCAGTTTGTTGAAGGCTTTAATTAAAATGTTTGGAACTAAAATCATGTTACATGGATTTGTACTTTCAATGGGTGAAATTTTTTTGAAGTAAAAATTAGATTTTTCTATACTATTATAATCGTATTGGTATCAAACAATTAACATATACATATAAATGTTTAATACTTGTTCTATATATAGGAGTTTTCAACCTCTATTGATTGGAGGATTATTGGCGTACTTTAATCCTGATGAATCGAATAAAGCCGATTTAAGGCATCTATATATTTATGCATCTTGTCTTGTAATGAACGTTTTAGGTACAATGATTGTGTATCATTCGATGCAGTCAGAAATGAAACACTTTGGAATGAAAATAAGAGTTGCTTGTTGTTCGATGATTTATAGAAAGGTATGCATTTAAATGTTAAATAAAAAAATAAATCGTTAACATTACATGATTACACTGTATAAGAAAAAATACCACATTGAAATAAAATAACCTTTCATTTAACTAATTTAATTACTAATGAGTTAATATGTGTATAAGTCTTATAGCGATTTAAAATTTATTTACTCTATTTGATATATTACATAAATAATTTATATTTTAAAATTTTTAATTATATAATTGTTTTCATTTTGTGTGCGATGTCATCTTAAACTTCAGCAGGGCCATATTTAGTGCAGGAAAAGAGGGTATGGGCCAGGGGCGCAATATTAAGAGGGGCATACATTTCAACACTACTTAGGTATGTAATATTTTTCCCGAAATATTTGAAAAATCTTGTTAAATAATACATACGATATACCAAACTTAACAACATTTAAAAATTAAAATAACTTAAGATTACAAAAATAGATATTCTAAAGCATATTCATCAGTACTCTTTACAATATTTATATCCGAATTTAGAGGTGGCACTACGAATATTTTTAACGATTCCTGTTATAACAGCTACTCGTGAAAGAAATTTCAGCAAGCTGAAAATTATAAAAAATTATCTTAGATCAACAAAAGGTTAGTCATCTCGCCATACTGGTATATACTTATCAATAGAAAAATATGTAGTTAAAACAATTTCATTTGATAATGTCATTAATAAATTTGTCTCTATAAAAGCAAGAGAAGTACCATTTGAATATTGTATTAAAATAAATTTAAATCATCTAATACATTAGTAAAACAAAAACATTTGAAGAAAATTACATGTTTTTATAATGTATTGATTTTTTATATTTTAAAGTAATACAAATAGTTATTAAAGTTCATTAGTAATTATTACCTTGTATACTATGTTTTTATATATGCTTTATATATCTCAAATGATTTTTTGTAAAAAAAATGCAAATTTTCCAATTCCCCATGAGGGAGGGGCATAAATACAGTGATTCCCCAAGTGCGCCACCAGACCTCAATACGGCCCTGAACTTCAGATCCGTACATGACGAGTTGACTCGTATATTAATCAATAATGATTGCTGCATGAATGATTTTAAATATGTTTTTTTTTAAACAGCTTACATTTATACAACATAAAATAATATGTTAGTGTATAAATTACACATAATTGGTTTTAAAATGTTTAGTTTTTGTATACTTAATTACAATTTTAATACATTTTAAAGTATATAATAAATTGTTTAAAACTATAGGCATTGCGGCTGAGTAAAAGGGCTCTTGGTAAAACCACGGTTGGTCAAATAACAAATTTACTATCAAATGACGTAAATAAGTTTGATACAGGAATATTTTATTTTCATTATTTGTGGATAAGTCCTGTTCATATAATTGTTATCAATTACCTTTTATGGCAAGAAATAGGTCCATCATCAATATTAGGAACTTCAATATTGGTTGTGTTCGTCCCATTCCAAGGTTGTGTGAAATATATTAAAATATTCGTTAGGATTATTCGTTAAAACAAAGATATTTAACTTTCAGATTGGTTGGTAAAGAAAACCTCTGAATTACGATTAAATACGGCAAAAAGAACTGATGAGAGGGTTCGTTTTATGGATGAAATAATATCAGGCATACAAGCTATCAAAACGTACACTTGGGAAAACCCTTTCACGTATCTAGTACAATTCGTCAGAAAGTAAGAAACCATTTTTTATTTTAATATAATCGTGAATAAGAATAAATAAATATTATATTATTATAATAGACTGGAAATCAAAGAGATACGAAAATCATTGTTCAACAAGATGATAATTTTATCTTTAACGGCATTTCACGCAAGGATTGCAGTATTTTTTAGTATATTATTATATGTATTTTTAGGAAATGGTATTACCGTTCGAAAAGTAAACAACATTCTTGTTATATACAATAAAATTCATAATTAAAAATTTTTTTGTAAATTATTATGAATCTTTAGGTTTTCGTCGTCTTAGCATACTTCAATCTATTACGAGTGACAATGACAACTCTTTACCCCCTAAGTGTTACAAATTTAGCTGAAATGCTAGTATCTATTAAACGTCTTCAGGTAAAAATAATTTAAAAAAATATTGGGATTTTAAAAATTATTAGAATTTAATTAATAAGCATTACTACAATGTGACCTAGTTACATTATAGACATAGTAAAAATACAGTTGCCTATAATCTGTTTATAGATTATATATATTATATACAGAGCCGGATTATGGTTTTTAGAGCCGTAAGCACATTCATATAAATGGCCTACACATCATTTTCATACACTTAAAAAAATTAATTTTATTTTCAATTATTTATTAGGTATCACAAATAAAATTAAAATAATTATAATTTACATTTGAATCTACATTTAAAATTTTGAATTCTTATATTAATTTTCTTTATAATTACATTATTTAATTATTAATTACTATATATATATAAATGATATAAATATCATCATTATTATAATTTTGTTTATTTAATATTATTTTTAGGAAAAACCTGAGTCGCTATAGAATTAAACTAATAAACTTCTGAGTACTGATCACATCATAAAGGTAAATTAATATAATGAAATATTTTTGGAACATTAGTTAGAATAACGAATTAATTGATATAAATCACAGTTACAAATTTACAACAAATTTGATAACCATAATATTAAATTATTTATGATATAAAATCATAAATTCATAATTACTCATGAGAAAAAATTTCTTAAATCTTATTTTTAATATATATAAATTTTATTTTAAAAATTATGGGCCGAATTTTTTTTGGGCCGTAAGCAATTGCTTATTTTGCCTACCCTTTAATCCGGCCCTGATTATATATATATTTATAGATTATGTGGTTGTCATTTATTCATACTTTATACTCAACTCCCATATTAATATATTTACTTATATTACTTATATTTTACTTTATTCGGAACTCCTAAAATGTTCTTATCGAATATTATCAATTTCCTACGCAATAAACTCTACTCACGGCTTCTCTGTATTGTATTTATTTATTTTTTTTAAAGATATTTTTATATATTTTCAAAAATAAAAGCAAAAAATTAATATATTAATATACATATAATAATAAATTAAATACGTTTGTTCTTAAGCACTTTTTACTATATGAAGAAAAAGATGATCGAATAGAAAATATTTCAACAACTAACAGCAATCTAGTTAATACGAACACTGATTCATTCAATAACAAGAATATTCACAATGGTGCACAACCAACAAAACAATTTGGAATAGTTATTTCCAATGTTACAGCTAAGTGGTCAGATGTTCAAACAAATAATTCTCTAGAAAACATTAATCTAATCATAAGACATGGACGACTAGTTGCACTTGTTGGTTCTGTGGGAGCCGGAAAGGTATATACACATACGTAAAACACAGAAATGGACATATTGTCAATGATTATACAAAGTCGGGACTTATGAATATTTTCACAGAGTTCATTATTACAAGCGATTTTGCGAGAACTGCCGCTTACTAGCGGTAGCATTTCGGCAAGCGGTGTTGTTTCTTATGCATCCCAAGAACCCTGGTTGTTCGCTAGTACCATTCGACAAAATATTCTCTTTGGTTTACCGATGGATGAAGAACGTTATAAACAAGTAAACGAAAATATTACGATTCATTTCACTTTATAGAATGTAATTTTTCAATTGAATTAGGTTATAAATGTTTGTGAACTAGAAGCAGATTTTCAACGCTTGTCACACGGTGATAAGACTAAAATTAGTGAAAGAGGTACTTCTCTCAGTGGGGGACAAAAAGCGAGAATAAATTTAGCGAGGTTTGTGTAAATTATACACCGATATAACGAAAGATATTTATTTGGAAAAATTTTATTTCAGGGCTGTGTACAAGCAGGCAGATATTTATTTGTTGGACGACCCTCTGTCAGCTGTTGATACACACGTTAGCAGAAATTTATTTGAAAAGTGTATCAAAGGTAGCTGTTGCATATGGCAGTGAATAATTTAAAATTGGATTTCGATTGATGTTTTGTTTATAATTTTGACAGGTTTCCTTAAAGAAAAAACTTGTGTTCTTGTTACACACCAGCTGCAATACTTGAAGGATGTCGATCGGATCGTTCTCATGAAAAACGTAAGCGTAGGCCGTATATTACATAATAACGTAATCAGTGGCGTGCCTAGGGGGAAGCGGAAGATTAGGAGATATAACTCCATAGTGCATTTTTCTTAACGACTTAATATCAGAACAATTCATCCAGGGGCGCAATTTCAATGAAAAAACTGGGGGTGCTGAAGCCCATCTATCTTTTTCATGTTCCTTAATGGTTATAGACACCCGCAAACCGTACAATTCAACAGTTACTAAAATATTTGGTAAATATATGAGTATTTCTAAATTTAAATTGTTCACTTTAATTTTATATTTTTATTACGCGTATAACGAATCACCTGTCTATAAACACAAATGTTTTATCACATGATCACTTTTAGATTCTGACTGAAGCGAATAAAATTATGGTTTTATAATGATGTTTGTATTTTATTTGTTTAACACTTTTTCGGATAGAAATACTGGCCTAAAAGTTTTTTCTAGAACTTTTTTAGATTTTAAATTGGCATGCGGTGGTACTTTAGATAGGTAATTTTTTAAAATCATAATAGTTTTTCTACGTATTATTATTTTCATATCAAAATATTTTTGTATTGTATAAAAATGTATATATTTATACAAAAAAACTCAAAAATTATTATGTTTTTCTATACATAATGAGTAATGAGTATTTAAATGTAAATTAACATTAACACATTTTAGGGTGCTAATTTCGAAAGTGGGGGTGCTAAGCACACCTATGCCCCCCCCAAATTGCGCCTATGGGTTCATCCGAATAAGTTTTAAAAAAAATTAGCTCATATTTGAAAGGTTTGATCCCCTGAAACCTGCTTATTATGTTTTTGGTTTCATATACTCCAAAATGTATGAACATATATTGTTATTTACATCATCCCCCTCAACCTATCGAGAATACCTGGGCATGCCACTAGATGCAGTGTATGATATCTTCGAATCGTGTAAATATGTCAAATCAAGAGGGTAGGTATAAGTACAGTTCTCCGTTGTTCTAGGCAAGAGTGTTGATGGAAGGTACGTACGAAGAGATCCAATCGTCCGACTTGGACTTTGCAAAGTCGCTTCGTTCGTCAGCGAATAATACCGCGGAGGTGATTCAAAAGTCCAGTGTAAATTGGTCAACGACCATGAACGATTCGTCAAGGGAACGCGGTGAACCTCAAGCTACACACGCCATTTATAGTAGTCCGGCGGCCGGAGCTCGTTCCGAGATAAACGTTGCGCGCCCCAGGTCTATTTTCTCGTACATGTTGGCCGGCGGACGGAAATGCAAAATATTGTTTTTTGTTCTCATATGCATTTTCACTCAAATGTCGATGTCTGGTGGAGATCTATGGCTCGCTTATTGGTATCTACATACATATATACATATATATCTACATACGCGTCGATTATTTTGAATTTTCGTTAGACGTTGACAGCTTACGTGCTTTGTGATCAGGGTGAAACTGGAAGAAAGCGGATTTCAAGGTACTAAGGAAATTGTAAGACACTCGCTTAAAGAGATCAACGGCCAGTGGACGAAGAAAACAATTACGAGGTTGCCAGTACCTCGGAACTTCTGTATAGGTATTTTCATCATCATCACTTCGACCGTGGTAATTACTACCATCGCCAGGTCGACCGTGTTCATATCCGTTTGCATGAGCGCTTCGATGAACTTACATAAAAAGATGCTGACCGCCATTATGAAAGCTACAATGTTGTTTTTCAATACCAACTCGTCCGGTAAGAATATCGCGTCGTGATTATATAAAGTCGAACCTCTTCTTGACTACTTAACAAACTTGTTACGTAGAAATTTTGTTAAACCAAATAAAATGTTTTTTTGGCTTAAAAACATTGTTATTACCTACTAAGCGAAATTTACGATAATAATAAAATGTAATACAAATTATTAAACAATAATGTATATGATATTAATAATTATAAAAATATTTTACAGTAATAAATAATGGTACGGTATTAAACACACCGTAAAGTATATAGGTAGAGGTACATCTATATTACATACACATATGTAATACGTAATATTATATTATTATTACAACTAAATTAATGTATTTGATAGATTTTTTTTTTGCCGAAGAACTATATAAATTATTACAATTATTTAAAGAATTTAAAATGTTATTTATTACATATTCAGTATACTAAAATACACATTGAATTTTGTTGAAAACACTTTATTGTTCTCGAAACTATTTTCGCGACACTTTTAAAAACTCCGAAATAGAAATATTATAATGTAATTAAAAAATAAATAGTATAAAAATGAATTCGTTAAATATATAATAAATTTATAATTTTTTTTTATTTCTAGTGAATATTTCATAGTTTCATAACAAAATTCGCTGTTTAGAGGAATTCGTTAAATAGAGGTTCGACTATACTCATACATGTATGTTTACATTAGTGATGGGAATTATTCGAATATTCGAATATTTGACTATTCGAATATCAGTATTCGATGCTATAATACAATACGTAACGAAAATTATTCGTTGAAGTTTTCGCGCAACACAAAACATTTAATAATAATATTTTATGGCTTATGGTGCATAGAGGCCTGCGAGAAGTGGATTCGAAGCGATATTTACTATTTGACTGGGCAATTAAATTACAAAAATAAGAATTGTGCAAAATACTCGAATATCATAATTAAATTATTATTAATACAGCATAATTTATAAATCTCTATAGTAAGTATCGCTTAGAATGAGATACTGCTTACAACAAGCAAAACGCTTGGTCCCAGCACAGTACATATGATTGTATGTTAAAATATACGTCTACAACGAGTATGGGTATTACGAGTTATTGGCTATAACGAGTAAAATAAAGCTAACTACGAACAGGTACCTGCAAGATAAGAATTATTTTCGTATTTAGGTCGATTAATCATTGACTTACATTATCTTTAATTGTGTAGATATGAATTACTTAATAATAAATAGTATAAAAAGCTTGTCATGGAAAAACGGATAAAACAAATTAGGTATTGTAGCATCGAATACTAATATTCGAATGATCGAATATCCGAATATTCGAATTATTTATGATGACACTATTCGGGGAACATTCGAATACTCATTTAATTCGATTATTCGAATATAAATTACATTATTAATTTACATGTCTTATAATAATAAATTTCCTGCATTTCTCATCTGGCGTAGGTCAAATTCTTGACCGTTTTTCAAAGGACATGGGAGCTATTGACGAAGTATTACCAGAGGCCTTGATGATTTCTTTACATGTAATAACATATATGATTAATATCTAATACATACTAACATTTGTTTTCATAAAAATGTAATCTTGATTAATGCGTGTTAATCAAAACTAGTTCGGATTGACGATCATAGGGATCGTAGTCGTCATTGGAATCGTCAACACCTATCTATTGATACCCTCTTCTATCTTAGCAGTTATCTTTTACAAAATAAGAATTTTTTATCTCCCGTCAATTCAAAGTATCAAACGGTTGGAAGGAATCAGTGAGTATATATACCTAAAAAAATTCTAAAACGTATAGTATATCCAGTGTTGGGAAGTAACTTAACTTAAGTTACAAGTTACTGTAACGAAATTACTTTTTAAGTAATTTGATGGTAATTTAATTACATTTTATTGTAAGTAATTCAAATGTAATTTAAGTAACTTTTTTGTAGTAATTATTACTAAATTACTCGTTACTTTTTTTGGTTTAATATATTTTAAGAACAATAAAAGTTTAAAGGCATGTCAGTAATGGAAAAATAAAAAGCCACTGACATCCTTCAAAGTGAAATAGAATATTTCAAACCTGTTAATGATAATACTTAAGTGCAAAATCAAATTGAGGAAGTCAATGATAACATTATTTTTGATGAAGATTTAAAACAAGAGCATTCTAATGCTGAACTTGAACGTTTTTTATTTACTCCTTTTAATGGTGATTTAATTATTTTAAAAAACATACCAATAATGAGATTAATTTTTTTGAAGTACGAGTAGAATACTGTTTTACCCTCAAGTGCTTCTGTTGAACGTTTGTTTATCATAGCAGGAGATCTATGCACTAAAAAGCGATCTAAAATTAGTGACTGTAATTTTGAAAACGCATTGTTGTTTAAAATAAATTTGAAAAATAAAGATAAATATTTAATGTATAGCAAAATTAGTATTAATTGTTAATAATTTCATATTATTGATTGTCATTATTTAGTTTGTGTATTGTCATATAGACAAAATAGACAAAAATATTAAGCTTCGTGATATTTAAAAAAAAAAAATAACTTCTATTATAATTGAGTTACTCTTAAAACTTATAAGTAATCTAACTTTACAAAATGAAAAAAAAGTAACTTAAAATAATTTAGTTACAATTTTTCTAAGTAATTAGTAATGTAATTTAATTACCCAAAATAAGTAACTTCCCCAACACTGAGTATATCTATATATAATGAACTGAAATACCATTGTGTATTTTTTTTTTTCAATAAATTTTAATATTTAAATAAATATAGCACGTAGTCCAGTGTATGCACATTTAAATACAACTCTTCAAGGCTTAACAACAATTAGAGCATTTAAAGCGGAACAAATCTTATCCGAAGAATTCGACGACAATCAGGTTCGTAAAAACGATTTTTACGTTTTTAATTTGCAGTGTTTTATTAATTAATACCTTTTAGGATCTACACTCCTCGGCTTGGTATATGTTAATTTTCTCGAATGGAGCCTATGGCCTATGGTTGGATTTGGTTTGCTTTTTTTACATAAGCGTGGTAACATTTAGTTTCGTTGTGGTGGAGTGTCACGGTAAAAGATATAGCAAATTATGAATATTCCGCTGAATATTGTCAGTAACCGTTTAACTTATTTCAGATACATACGGAGCAAACGTCGGCCTGACCATTACCCAAGCATTGACATTGGCCGGTACGTTTCAATATTTCATGACCGAAACAGCTGAATTAGAAAACCAAATGGTTTCGGTCGAAAGGGTACTGGAATACACAAACGTCCCGAAGGAAGCTGCGTTTACATCGGCTGCGGGTAACGGTCGTTGCATTTTATTTTACAACAATGGACGATGGGACTAAATAAAAAAAAATCGACAAATATTATTTTTCCAGATAAAAAACCACAGGATGAATGGCCATCGAATGGTCAGATCACATTCAAAAATGTTTTCCTCAAATACGGACCGAATACACCGTATGTCATAAACAATCTAAACTTGAACATCGAACCAATGGAAAAAGTATGCGCATAGAAAGTCGTATTATTAATGATATTGTTTGTACTGTACTTAATTTCTTTTCATTTTGTTCGTAATACACAGATAGGTATTGTTGGCAGAACCGGTGCGGGGAAATCGTCTTTAATTGGGGCATTATTAAGATTGCATTTTAACGAAGGTAACATCGTAATCGACAATATTGAAATACACCAAATCGGATTGCACGAGTTACGGTCTAAGCTTTCCATCATTCCTCAAGATCCAGTTTTATTTTCGGGAACAATCCGAACGAATTTAGATCCATTTGATCGGTACCCCGATTTCATCCTCTGGAATGCTTTGAACGAAGTAAGCATATAGTACTCTCGTCATTATTCAATATCATTACAACCAACGCCATCTCTTGAGCGTTACGTACGTTTCACTTTTACCGTAACTGCCTCTTCACCATAGGTATTAAAGGTTTGTCGAGCGTAATACACGAGATGGGTTTGTTTCAGGTGCAGCTGAAAAACGTGGTGGACGAACTACCCGACGGCTTGGACTCGAAAATGTTTGCTGGTGGCTCGAATTTCAGTGTTGGCCAGAGACAGTTGATATGTTTAGCCAGAGCTATTGTGCAAAACAATAAGATTCTCGTACTGGATGAAGCCACTGCCAACGTCGATTCGCAGTACCTATTAATTATAATATACCCCTGCCGTATACAAACTTGCTCGCGGACAATTACTATCTTTTAATTCTCAGGACTGATGCGCTGATTCAAGGGGCTCTTCGGAAAAAATTTCGAACGTCCACGGTCTTAACAATTGCTCATCGTTTAGACACCGTTATAGATTGCGATAAAATACTTGTTATGGACTCGGGCACAATGGTCGAGTTTGACCATCCGCATGTCTTGTTGGCAAATAAGAAAGGATGTTTTTACAGCATGGTAAAGCAAACGGGACAGGGAATGGCCGAATTATTACACCGAGTAGCTGCGCAGGTACATATAGACCGCAATTGTGCAATTAATTATGTGTTTCGGTGTTTGTACATCACATGTTAAATATATCGGATTTATTTCTAGAGCTATAAATCGAAAACTACGATAGAGTCTCGTTGAAAACAATAAAGGGTAGCTCGATATCCGGAAGATGTTCCAGTAGATAGATTGTTTAGTACCTAATACTGTTCGCGAAGTTTTTTTTAACAAAACATAATAATAAAAGTACCTTAACAGCAAAATATCACCAAGCCTATTAAATTGTCAAGTGAATCTTAAGCGGTGGTACATAATTCGTCGGTGTTGTCGTGAATATTTATAATTACATTTGATAGTATTAACCATTATTTTTCTTACTATGTTCGATTTGGAAGAGTTGTTTTTTAAGGGATAATATGCAATAGCATATTACAAATTACATATTTAATTACATCATACCCATTATTCATCATAGAAGTTGTTTCATTTTGTTGTTGTTTTACATATTTTGATAGTTCATATACTATATTTTTATAAAAAAAAACACCATAAATCAATTTCAATTTTAAAAGTTTTAATAATTCATAATATATACAAATATATTTTAGAGACCAAATTTCGACCACCTTAAAAATTGACGCCCCAAAAATGTCAATTATGATTGTAGTTTAGAGCAGCGAAATTGAACTTTTTTTTTTATATCTACATGCTACTTTTGAAATTTTCAATTACTACAAAGTCAAAAAATAAAATGTATTCGTTATTTTTTTATGTATGAAAACTTTTATTATTAAAACTGCGAACCTAGTCATTAAATTACTATATTTATAGTTATTATTTTTAATGATTACGAATGACCATCAATCTACCTAATTATCAAATAAATTATATATTTCGGGACAATAATAATGATACAATGAAAATTATATCAATTTCTTCACGTACCGTAGGTTAAGAACTGCTGGTTTAGTGTATTATCACTCACAAAGTATTGCCAACCAATTATAGTATTCTACAATTGAATAATAATATTAGATGGTTTTAAAAATAAGATAAACTGTATTCTTGTTAAACTGTTGGGTTGAAAATCTCTTATTAAGTCCATGTTATTTTTAATTTGGTGTATTAATAGTTCATATAATATACTTCAATGATTTATGATTTTATCAATGCTCATTATTAAAGGACGGATATTCATGCATTAGCATATTTTTTATAAAGTTACAGAGTAAGATAGAAATTGGTTTTGTGATCTATAGAATATAAAAGTAAAATTGTTATGTTGTATATATTTGCATATTTAGATCCAATTTTTTTTATAGCATATTTATATTATATTATTGCTTAGTTATGTGTATTCGGTACTATTAGATTTTACTGGATATTTAACATTGAATTATTGTCTATTTCAATTTCTATTTTTGAAATTATATTTTTATTGATAAAAATAAAATAGAAATTAGTCCAATAATACATATTATCTAATATTGAAACATAGATAATATTGTTATCTATAAATGGTTGATATTTGATTTTTGTAGGATAACTTCAGTCCAAATGAGAGTTATTCTCCAAATACATGTTTTTAGACGACAAGAAATGGGTGTGTAACGTTCTCTTAATCTATAACTTCAAAAATATTTAAAAAAACAAAGTTTATTTAGAGAAATACACATATAAATAAGTAAAACTAAATACATTTTATATCAATTTAAAAAATTAATAATTTTTCAGATTAAATCAATAATAAAAGAAGGCTGTTTTTTTTTTAAATTTTTCCATTTTATTTTTATTTTAAGTTTTAACAGTTTAAATCAATTTTATTAACTATTTCATTGCACATTTTTTTTTATGCATATAAATTACATTTTATCGAGCGTATTTTAAACTTTTATAAAGCATAAAGGTACTACAATTTTTTAGAATCTGAACATCCGCCCAGTACTCATTGGTAATGAGTACAGTCTGGATTTATATGTATTTGTATGTTTGTACTAAGTGTATGCACATCTATGGAGGTTTAAAATGTCAATGATTCATATCACATATTTTGCATATTTCGAGGATTATTGCATATTTGATCAAAAATGCATATAACATGCATATTTAATGGGTTTTTAATAAATTGAAAATGTTTGTATTTTTTTAAGTTTTCTATACGTTTTTTGAGACTAGATAACTTCAAATGATTTAAAATATTTATAAAATCTAAATTATTTATTTTTAGTTTTTTCTTTTTATTTGTATTCTCGTTTTTAAGTTTCCTAAAAGTTTTAGATTGATTTAAATGATTTGAAATATAGAGCAGTGGATATTATCATTTTTTTTGTTTTTGATAAAATATTTAGAATTTTATTTGGTTTAAAAGTGTGGTTTTTTTTAAAAAAAAAAACACATCTTATAAAGATTAACATAATGCATTTAATTGTATATTTAGTCACTTTTTCTTTGCATACTTGCATCATATTTGATATTTTTGAAATGCATATAAATCAGGCTCTAGTAATGAGTCATTACTATGAGATATGAATTACTTATTAGGTACTTTGTATAGATGAAATTATATAACAAATTATTTAATGACCTTTAAGAAATCATTTGAACCAAATATAAATACACCAATTTAATGGTAAATGTTTCATTTATTATAATCTGGTTAGAACTATTGATTATGGAATAAAAGTATATGAATAATATATTTTATAATCAATAGTAAAACCGACACATCTTAATAATGAATACCAAAAATATCCATGGAATTATATTTTAAATTAAGCATTGTAAAGCAGCATAACTTATGAATATTTCAAAAATATATATTTTTAGTTTTAAACTTAACATAATGACTAATTATAAAACAAAATTTTATGAGAAAACTTAAACAGAAATCATAATTAAAACCTTAAAATTAATGGTTGTACATAAAAAAAAAATATAACCAAATTGGTATTCTTTTCAAACTTAATATTAACAAAATCAATTAATATAAAAATTAAAGAAATTATTAGAGTCTAATATAGTGTTTCTCAACCTTTGCACTATAGTGACTCACTATTAATACATTTCATTACACCTTGTGACACACTTTAACTTTTTTGTGACATAAGTGTGTGTTGCGAAAATACTGGCTGAAAAACACCGATATAATACCAAGTAAAAAGTATACATCAATAAAATTTTTAATCAAATAAACAATTAATTTCAGATTATCTTATTGAACAAAAAAAAAAAAAAAAAAATAGAAAACATAATCGTATATATTTTGTGATTTTTTTTTTTTTTGTAAATCAAAGAAATTATATTGGACAAAAGCAGTCAAGAGGTTATATAAACCCAAATAATATTAAAAATAATATTATAAACGTATTAATCAACTCATAAAGAACATTACATTGTAAACATACATAAATAAATAACTATTTTACTTATAATTAGTTTTCAGCTAGAAGTACATAGTACCAAAATCTTTCATTTAAAACATCTTTACCTATTTTTCAAGAAAAATTATAATTAATCTAACGAGAAAAAAAATATAAATATGTGAACAAAAATATTATTTGACAAATAAACATAATTGTGTAAATTATAGGAAATATATCAAAAGTATATGATCAAATAATACCATGTTATGATTTTGGTAATTAAAATGGAGTGGGTTCTTCTTCTGAATCTTTTTCGCTTTGATCATCAGCAAAACCAGTCATACGGTAATATGCTTTGGTTTCTTCACCAGTTTGTCGAAAACTAATTAAAGGACGCAACGCTGAACGTAACGAAGCGAACAGGCTTGGAAACAATATTTCCTGTTGAGCAAGTAATTGTTTTGTTCTATGGCGTTCCTTAAATTAAAAATTACAAAATTGTTAGTTCAATTTTCAAAAATGTTAACAAATTATCTATCAACTACTCTATAGTTCAGTGCTTCTTAAACTTTTTAGTCATGGGGCTTCTTAAATTCAAAGTAAAACTTCAAAGCCCCTTTAATTATTATCGTAAATTATTATTTTTTAATTATATACTAAAACTACATGTATTATTTTACACAGATAAAATATTCAAATGTATAGTAAATTAATGTATTTTAATATACTTTTGAAAACTTTACAATATTGAACTTTAAGCATGTATAAATACAAATAAATGTCCTAAAGAAAATAATTTAAATTAAATAAATTTTTTAAGGCCCTCCAGTAATATAGCCATGGCCCCCTAGTCCCTAGTTATAGTACAGTTTAATTACTCTCTCAGAAAAATGATATTTTACATTTTATAGAATTCAAATATTAACATCAGTATCAACCTTGGGAGCTTCGAAGCATGCAGGACAGTTTTCTGCAATTACAGGTAGTTTCTTGGTCTCTGCAAATTGGCGTAACATTTTTTCTCTTACATACACAAATGGTCTGATTACACGTAAATCGCGTTCATTTATTGCATAATGAGCTTTCATTGATCTCAATCGACCATTATGAAATGTTGACATTAAAAAACTCTCAGCCAAATCATCTAAATGTTGTCCAAGGGCTAAAACATTATAACCATTTGCTCGTGCGGCAGCATACAAACGTCCTCTTTTCATACGACTACAAAAACTGCAAATGGAACTGCACTCAGCCGATGCAGCTTGTTCAAGAATTTCTTCAAACAAATGTATAATTGATTATTTTACTATAAATATATATTTAAAATAGTCTTTATATAACTCACTTTGTTCCTCGTATAAATAGTGAACACCTAATGCCTCTAAGTATGGTATAAGAGGTTTAGGATTATAAGCTGAACTACCAGGATCAACTGTTGCAGCTCCTAATGTGAAATGTATACCTTTTGATGAAGCATAATACTGATATTGATGAAGTGTATGAAGTAACGATAAAGAATCTTTACCACCCGATAAGCAGACCATAATTCGATCTCCGTCTTGGATCATTTTAAACTCTCTTATAGCCTTAAATTTTTAAAATAATATTTAAAAATGAACCCTTAAAATTAATATATTTTTTTTTTATACTTAAGATCACAAATTAAGATTTAAGGGACTTGAAACAACACAGCAGGCAGGTGTAAGTGATAACTCCTTAAAAGCATGTTAAATGGTTGTTTAAAAGTGGTAAAGCTACATATTTTTACAATACTAAAACTGTAAAATAAATGTAATATTAATAATTGAATAACACTATCTAGTGAAGCAAAAAGAGGAGACTTCCCACTACAACACCAGAATTTTACATACTTTTAAGGAAATATTATCAGCTTTCATTTTACATTTTTTTATATTTTAATTTGAATTTAGTATTTAAGTTTTCAGTAAATTGTATTAATTATAATTTAAGTCTAATAAAGATTTCTAAAATATAGATATCATATACTTTAATCATCAATATTTACTTCGATTGTTGGTTTCCAAATAGGTTTGGGCGGACAGTACCATCTAGCCACAGCAAAATCAACATTTTTCTCACAGTTCATTTTAACAATGCATTCAGTTTTAAACTTTTTTGTATTACATTCAGTTGGTTCTGTTTTTATGTTTATACCACTATCGGTAGAACTCAGATTTGGATGTTTTGAATTAATTTCCTTATCACTTTCAGAATCAGATTCTTTTTCCATTATAGTGTCAGTGTTTTCATCTGATAAAGATGGAGAAGAAGCCAAAACAGAACTCACCATATCATGTATTTCAGTTTTGATTTCTGAAGCAAATTCAGATAAGCGACTAATAACTTGTTCTTCAAGACCATTTTGGCAAGGGGTGGTAGTAATAACTGGCACAGAATTATTTCTAGGCATAACTCTATGGCCATTTGTTAGAATGCTATTATTACGTTTATCTATAATATTCAAACTCTCCGAGCTTTCCGATAAAGCATTGTCAACAGTAGCTATAACTTCACGGAGTTCAGATTTAATTTCTGTAACAAATTCTTTTGTCATTTCTTGTACATATGCTTGAATACATTCATCATGTTGACTATCTCCGTAAGAGGTTCTTGATTCAGAATCACTTAATTCTGTTTGGCTGCTACAAGAACACTGCCGTTCACGTAACCTTCTGAATTTATCCGGGCTTGTAGGATTTGATCCTAGACTATAGCATCTTTCTCTTTGAGAAACTAGTTCAACAGGACTTAAATGTTTATTGGGGAGTAACATTTCTGAACTACCACTTGAAGATCTTATACGAGCAGATAAACTGAAAAATAAAAATAAAACATTAAGGTACTATATTTAAATTATTTTAAATTGAAAATTAATAGTTCAAGATGATTTCAAGTTAAGAAAGAAATAATATTATAATATCACTAATCAGTTAAAAAATTACAAATTTCAGGAATAAAAGTTAAAAAATACCTATTATCTAAAGCAGAAAGACTGTTGTATCTGGCCAAAGATGAGTTTGGAGTAGAAACAGAAGACGATTCTGAAGTTCGAGGAGATCCATGGTAGACTGTTGGCGAAAACGGAACACCTTGTTTGATATGACTAGCCGAATGTCCTAAGAGTAAATCTTGGGCTTCACTCGGCAACATAAACCAACGTAACTTTTCAGCCTTTTCTGTAAACATGCTCCTCTGATCGGGTAATGGATACCTTTTTGCCATCTAAAAAAAAAAAAAGAGAATTTTTACTAAACAGAAAAAAGTAAACAAACGATCACCGACACATACTTTTCTCGCTTTGTTAAACGTGTTTCTTGCTGTTTTCAGACATTCGGAGTAATCAGCCGGACACGTGTTTTGGGCGGAGATCTTTCGCTCCGGCATGGCCAATTTCCCGTCGGTGTACCGGATTGATCCCAACCACTTGCGGTCGCGAAACACGTTGTTCGTGTGGTGTTTCCATTCACCAGTCTCCGGGTTCAACGTATACTGAGGCAAGAGTTTCCAGCCCTCAGTGGCTACCATTTTCAGAGCTTCCAGAACGAAGGATACCTCGTTGTCAGACATGAAGAACGGCAGGGATATGCGAGCAAAACCGGGCCGGAGCATCTCGAACGAAGAGTGCTCTTCGTGTCGGCGTAAGTGATGCCGGTCCAGGCGCTCGTCTTCCAGCAACATGTTCTCGTACTCGTTGGCTAGTGACTCGTCAATGCCCAATAGGTCCTGGGCATAAGGGCCGGCGCATGCGCACCCGCCACGGGCCTGCACGCCAAACACGTCGTTGAGGATGGCGCACACGAAGTTGTGATGCAAAAACGCACCGCGAGGATGGCGCACCAATAGCGAGAAGATTGGCAGTCGTTTGACCGTTTGCGAGCAGTTACCTAGCACTATTATTTCCGGCATCGTTTGCAGGAATGACAAAACAGTTCTGCAATTAATAAAACCGTTGATAGAAAGATTACGTAACCAGCTAATCAATATGGACATACTACATCATGACAGCGTTAGGTTTCATAATACATTTATTATTATTTTTTTTTAATAAATGTTTATTTTAAATTCTCAGGAGCATTGTTGTTTTGAACCTTAATTTTTTCAACTCATTTATATCTTTTAATATAATTTTATTTATTTAAAAACGTATATTATTTATTATTAATCAAGTATTCTAAACGCAAATCTATAGAGGTACTCGTGACTTTTAACAATCATATTTTATAAATATATGATGCCAATAAGTCAATAGTTTTATAATTTTAGAGGCCATAAGAAAAAAGTAAAATAAAATGACAACAAAATATGCACTTTTCGAAGTAGACAGTAGAGACATTACTCGTAATGTACCTATTCTTGATGCATAAATTAAGTTTGTATACATCAAACAAAATTTGTAACTAAAATAGGTTTTTATTTTTAGAGCAATTTTGCAGTTTCAAAGTAAACTATCAGAGAAGCATAATAACTTAGATATTGTAAGTTATTGCATATGAAAATGTATACAAATTGATATAATTATATTTTGAATAAATTTCTAATAAATTATTGGTTTAAAGATGTCAGTAAACTAATTACTTTGATTTCATAACAAAATATTTATATTCAATATATAAGCAAATATTTTTTAAACATCTAAATAAACACAAAACAGGTATGGTGATAAACCATTGTTAAAATGTCTTCGCTTTTATCATAACTACTTGAAGTATATCATTATCAAAGTAATTTTATATTCTGTAGATACAGTTGTACATTATTGACAAAAGTTGGCTTCACAAGTGCATAATATTCTCTTTTTTGAGGATTCTTGAAATACATAAAAATAAATATTTGTAAATTACATCGTTAAATTTTACTAACAGTTGAGTATTATTTATAAATAATTTTTTATTATTATTCACATATGGTAAATATATATCTTGGATACATATTTAATATATACAAGATTTATACATGAGAACAACAGTTGTTTAAATGTTATTGTAAAAGAATGTACTCCATCAAGTGTATACAAAAATTTTATGGAAAAACAGTAGAATTAATAATTAATAATCAACCACCATCACTAAAAATTAAAAATATGTTATAATTGCATACAGTTTAAATGTATTAAGGTGCTGATGAATAATTATTGTTCTCATTACTTTGTAATTTTTTCTTCTCTACTCATAATGAACGGCACACCGATATTTTGTTTTAGCTGTAATGCTAAGCCTAAGCGCACAGATTCAACAATAGCTCCAGTTCCACCTTCTTCTCGTAGTTCTGTGTCCTATAATATTTAGTATAAAATAATTTAGAGATGAGAACAGAAAAAAATAACTACTAATATTCACCTTTAAGTATCTGTGTTCTTTTCTGGAAACGAAAAATACGGCACCACCACCACTGCCATTTGGTACTTTGTTTTTGAATAATTTTTTTTTTGCCACCAATACACCTGTGCGGCCCATAAATCTCTTTATTAGAAAACTATAGGAATATATGTATTCAAATAGTTGGTCAAACCTGGAGTTTGTATTCCACCAACAAACTTATGACCAGAGAAAAATATAGCATCTTTATAAACTGCTTGGTCATTGGCAGGGAACAAAGGATTCATATCCACCACAACATAAGGAGCTGTAAATTATTAAATAATTTAAATACTATCAAGCAAGTAATTAAAATCTACTAGAATTGGTGCACATTAAATTTTTATAGTTCAACAGTACAATATAATAATAGTTGAGTTACAAAGTGCAAATAATAACTATGTTGTTTACAAATGATTATTTTTATCAATATAAAAGTTGTACTTGAATAATTTATAGCACAAGGTTTATATTTATCACATATTTATTATTTAAAAAATTATATCTCAATAGTTAACATTTTTTAAGTGCTTCCTCAAAAATAATAAAATAATTTATATACATTTATAGATTTATGTTTAAAAAATACAATATTACCCGGAAAATTCATTCCTGATTATTTTAAGTACTTAAAGCATTATTCCGAAGCTCGGTGGCAGGTTTATTTAATTAAGCATTAAAAATTAATCCTTAGCAAAATGGCAAAAATGATACGTTTATTATATATTAATTTTTTTATTAGCATTAATATTTACGATTATTAACTATTTACATTACACTATTTGATTAAGAAAAGCACAAATAAAATTACATAAAAACGTTTTGAAATCATTTGCACAATTATTCAAATCTTATAAGCAGATAAAAAATGAATACATAATAATAAAATAATTATAACCACGTATAGTACATTATTAATTAATCATTATTTTACCTGCGGAAGCATAATCCCAAAAAGCCAATGCACCATACTGGTGTAAAACCAATGTGGTGGCAATATCATCAGCAAGAATTCCGGTAATATTAGAGGCGGCAGAAAAACAACCGATTAATTGAGCTCCTGGACTGACCGACTGGTACAATTGAAGCTTGTTTTCAAGATCAATTAGGTCAATAAAACCTTCTTTAGTCTCCGCTATGCGGATGATCTGAAAGAGTTTCAAATATAGTTTTTAATTTATCAACAATACTACGGTTGAAATACAAATAATAATTGAACGACTAATAAGCAAGGAATTTCGATATTGTTTTAAATTCGCTAATAGCAATATTTTAATAATGAAGTGTGTAGAGTTGTTCAGTGGCGTAGTTACGGGGAGGGTGTAAAGGGTTTCCACCCCCCACAGATTTTTTTTTTTAATGATATTTGATTATTAT